CCCCAAAACCCCAAAACCCCAAAACCCCACTGATATCTAATTCAATAATTGCAAATTTGTATTTATATTTATTTTTAGCGGAATTTAAATTTCAAAATGTATAAGTCAAAGCATACTCAAAACGATTAATAGCTCCAACATACTCTCGCTAAAATCCCTAGGCTAACATTTGCACAGATTTGAAGTCACTTGCATCAAGATTTTAAGCTTTATTTCCAAAGTGAAAATGATTTGAAGAGTCTCAGCTCATCATAGGTACTTGAGTTAATAGCAGCATTTATAAGAGAGACTCTAGAGTTGAGGCCTGAGTTTGTCTTGACTGAAAATTACGATTAAGGATACTTTACTACTGGATTTTTGCCATACTTTGATCGATTAGATCAGACTCTAGTAGTCACCAACTCTAATCTAATCTTCTATCAAATTTTGGGTCTTTTGAATCAGCATATTAATTATGACTTTGAGATGCTACTGAAACCTAGTCAACACACTTAGGAATGGAAATCTATAATGTGTCTGATGATAGATTTTCACAAGTATAAAAGCCTATATATTAATGATCACTTGGATAAAGTTAAAGAGATAGATGATAACAATGAGTAACTAGGCAAGTTGACTGCACAGCTATTCAAATTGATTGATCTAAGGTAAGAAATCGAGAAGAAAAAGGTCATTTATGTAGACTAAGAATAGTAGCTATTGTTCTAAAAAGAAGAACTTTAGATAGAACTAGAATTGGCTTAGACTGAATATCAAGAAATTAATAAGGAAGATTAGAATCTTTAGAATGAAGAAGAGGAGTTGATAAGAGAACTAGAGCAACTTAAAAAATAAAGCAATGAGCTTTGTATTTAGAGGGATAAAGCAAAGTCATATATAGTCTCATCACCTGAAAAATTATCAAATGACAGAGATTTATCTAGAGAGGAGCTCACATTAGTTGATTAGGAACTTATTTAAAGGTAAAAAGTTCATCAAAAACTATAATATAAACTAGATGGATCAACAGAAAAGTTAAACTAAGTGAAAGAGTATCTTTCTATACTTCAATCTGCTTTGTATTTAAAAGAGACGGCTTAGACAGCAAAAAGAGATATCACAAGATAGTAATCACATTTAGTAGAGCTTAAGTCTAATTAAGAAAATCTATCATAAGAATATAACACTTTAAGAAATGCCAAAAAGAGTAAAGAGTAAAAAGAGCAGCAATACTAAGAGCATTATTAAAAGCTTAAAGAAGAGACCTAGCAGATTATCGATAGTAGAAAATTGGATAAATTAGATCTAACTCAGATGTATGAGTAATTGGAAACACTATTGAGGGACAGCAAAGATAAATGCTAGCTTGAAAGAAGAGAACAGATGAAAATTAGTAGAATTAGGGAGCATTAATTAAGTGAAAGTTTAAGGGGAATAACTGCTTTAGAGGAATATATCGTTGAGTATTGTGAAATTATCAAGAATAAGATTATAAATTTACCAGAGATGATGTGATTTTAATGATATTAAAATGAGTTGTACTATGATTAATTTATTATTACAAGATAAATAGATTTAAACGATGGGGTTTTGGGGTTTTGGGG